ATTTTTTTCCTTGCTCAAAAGATAATAAAAGTAGGTTAGTTTAATTAACAGTTCTCCTAGGGAAATTATTCTGGTTTAATCCACTTAGGTGTAAAGCTTTTGCAAAATATGTTTACTCTTTTTTTGATTATAAACCTAATTCACAGAAAAATATAAACTACCGCAAGATTATATAATGTAAAAAGTGAGGCTGGGCACTGTGGCACATCCTTAATCCTAGGGACTGGAAGACTGAGGCAGGAAGATCTCAAATTCAAGGCCAGCCCAGGTAACTTAGTGAGACCATCTCAAAATAAAAATATTTTTAAAGGATGGGGATGTACCTCACTTATAGAACAAGCACTCTTGGGTTTAATCCCCAGTACTGCAAAAAGAAAGAGACTAGAAAGTCCTTGTAATCATCTCAATTTTGGTGATAACCTCTGGTAAAAGTCTAGAGAGTGTTCCTCCAGACTTTTTTTTTTTTTTTTCTATAGGCAAGGGACTAATTCCAGGACCATGGTCCCAGGATACCAGAACCTGAGAATACACAAGTCCCTTATATAAAACTGTACCATATTTGGATATAACCTATGCATATACTATACTTTATATCATCTCTAGATTACATATAATACCTCACACAATGTAAATGCTATAAAAAGCCACTGCTATACTATATTGTTTATAGAATAATCATGAGAAAAAAGTCTGTACATGTTTAGTACAGATATAACTTTTTCCAAATATTTTGATCTGTAGTTAGTTGGATGTGGAACCCTCAGATACAGTGGGCCAACTGTACTAATATACAACAGTATGCTCTTTTTTCTTTCTTTATTCCAGAACATCCATCAGTCAAAATAATTATTTCTGGGGCTGGTGTTGAGGTACATCGGTAGAGCGCTCGCCTAGCACATACGAGTAGCTGGGTTTGATCATCATCACCACTTAAAAAAAAATAAATAAAATAAAGGTATTGTGTCCAACTAAAACTAAAAGAAAATAATTACTTCTAAAAAGTGGAGGGTATTTATAATCCTAGCTACTTTGGAGGCCAAGGCAGGAGAATCATAAGTTTAAGGCCAGCCTAAGCAACTTAGTGAGAACTTGCCTCAAAATAAAAAATAGACCCGGGCGCATTGGTGCATGCCTGTTTTCCCAATGGCTCAGGAGGCTGAGACAGAAGGATCACAAGTTCAAAGCCAGCCTCTGCAATTTTCTAAGGCTCTCAGCAACTTACCAAGACCTGTCTCAAAATATAAAATAAAAAGGATTAGGGATGTGGCTCCGTGGTTAAAAGCCCCTGGGTTCAATCCGAGGTACCTAAATTAATTATTAGTAATCAAAATTAGAAAAGGCTGCTGTTCAGTGGTAGAGTGCTCCTGGGTTCAATCTCTAATACTGAAAAAAAATTATAAAATTTACTTATTTTATCCAAAATAATTAAATCCTTTGGGTGAGACCATAACCATGATATTGCTTTGTAATTTGCTTTTTCACAGTTGCCATTCATGGCCAAGAGGATAACCCCAAGCAAAGAAATGGAAGCTAAATAAGCCAATTATGGAGTAGGAAGTGGTTGCTTTAGAATATTTAGAGAAGTTTATCATGAGTAAGATATAGTTCAGTATGAATGAAAACATCACTTATATTAAATGATTATTTGAGTTGGACTTCATACCAATGAGCCAAATGGGACTATGAACTGTGGATCCACAAGAAAAGGATCTGACTTAACTAAGGACTATTTGATTATATACAGCCACACAAAAATGGCATGAAGCAAGGTTTCTGGTGGAGATAACTTTGACATGGGTATCCATGGACATAAGAGGCAGAGGTGGGGGATGCAGAGGGGGGCCGGAAATAGAGGCAAAGCTGGACCAAACCAAAATAACTACTGGCTGGGTTTTAGCTGGACATGGTGGATGCCAACCAAACTGAAGAAGATTCTTTACTGGACACTTTTTTTTTTTTTTTTTTTGGTACCAGGGATTGAACCCAGGGGTGCTTAACCCCTGAGCCACATCCCTTGCCCTTTTTTGTTTTCTGAACCAGGGTCTTGCTAAATTGCTTATGACCTCATTAAACTATTCATATTGTGGCTCTGAATGCTGGCTTTGAATTTGAGATCCTTCTGCCTCAGCCTCCTTTGCTGCTGGGATTACAGGTGTGCGCCACAGCACCCAGCTGGCTGCTAGACACTTTTGAACACTGATATTGATAGGGAAGATTAAATTAGGCCAATTAGGTCAAAATAAAAAATGAGTCATAGATGGGACAGCTTCCAGAAACTGGAACAGAGTCTGAGAATGCCAAACAAGAAGATGATCTGATAGTATTTATAGAAATAACAGATGTGAGGCATAGAAAATAAATCAACTACAGGATGGTCACTCAACCATTCAACTGGTTACACTAAACTAGTTATTCAGCTTTGTTAATTGGGTATCAGGCCTCCAACTAAAAGTTGCTCCAACCATCTATGATTATGATTAAACTCTACATTGGTTTGCTCTGTTAGGCTCAGTGTGGTTGCCCAGTCTAAATCCATGACCCCCGCCCCCCAAATTTTCATATCCAGCTGAGAAGGAGTCTGAGATTCATCTAAAAGGTGTTTAGCAAGCTAAGAGGAAGCGATGCAGAGGTGTGGAAGGATTAATCAGGATAAACTGGAATAAGAATGCCCGAATTAGGATAACTCAATGGTAATAATCTAGGGAAAGGATACAAGACTACAAATTGTTGGTGGAAGTCAAAAGAACAAGAAGGGGTGAATCTGAGTCATGAAAGAGACAAAATCACTTCTCTATTTTAAATTTTTTTTTTTTTGTACTAGAGATTGACCCAGGAGCACTTAACCACTGCAGAAAATTATACTAGACTGACAGCAAGTCAATTTAGTGTTTCACTACTGGCATTTTTTTTAATTAAAGTACTACTTTATTAAATGAGTTATTTTACACAACATGAACAATTGCAATTGTAAAAAAAAATTTTATAACAAGGACAGACTGATTTTCAGATTTCCAAATCAGAGTCAACTGTACATTTACACAGAATTGTCTTTGCATGAATCCCAAAAGGGAACAGCATAAAAATGAGTGTTTCTGTAGCCCCTTGAGTTTTGCTGATCAACAGTTTGTTAGAAAAGCAGCTGTAGGTTTGTTACATAAGGTCTGAGACAATAGAAGACTCGAAGGTGTCATGAATTCACCTATAAACAACTTTATGCCTGAACATCAGCCAATTCTGGAGGAAGTGGAGTCTTAGGGTGCTTGCTCTCAAAGTGCTGCTTGAAGGTCTTAGGGTCTGGCATTTGTGTCCTACAGACAGGGCAGGTATACGTTAAGGCAGCTTTGGCAGCAGCCTTTTGGTTATGTCCTTGTTTCTTCTTTTGTCCAGCCTGCTTTTGGGCATTTTTTCACTGAAACTGAATCTTCTACTGTCCACCAGCCATATCTGGGCGGGGACAGTCTTGCTGGGGAAAGTCATGGAGGGAAAGAAGGGGGAGCGTGCCCAGCGCCCAGCATCTCTTCGGCCTCCTCCACCCGCCAAAGAGGAGTGGCATTTTTTTTTTTAAGATGGTAAAATACAAAGTGTAGATTGTTCCATAAATCTTTTATTTCAATTTTAAGTAATATAGGTGTATTGGATCACCCTATAAAATTTATTTCTTACCTGAGTTGTGGTCAAACATGTGAAGGACACTGTTCTAAATTAGTAGTTGTGTTAGTTTTTCATTATGGTGTCCAAAATACCTGACAAGGCTATCTTTTTTTTTTTTTTTTTAAAGGAGAGAGAAAGAGAAAGAATGAGAATGAATCTTTTTTGTAGATGGACACAACTCAATGTCTTTATTTTTATGTGGTGCTGAGAATCGAACCCAGGTCCCGCCCATGCTAGGGGAGGGCTCTACCGCTGAGCCACAATCCCAGCGCACAAGGCTATCTTAAAGGAAGAAAACTTGGGGCTGAGGCTGTGGTTCAGCAGTAGCGCACTTGACTGGTATGAGTGAGACACTGGGTTTGATTCTAAGCACTGCATGTAAATAAATACAATAAAGGTTTATCAACAACTAAAAAAATATTTTTTAAACGGAAAAGTTTTTTGGGGGCTCATCTTTCTAGAAGTTTTAGTCCACGGTGGGCTAACTGCATTGTTTGGGGCCCAAGGTAAGGCAGAATATCATGGCAAAGGAACACTGCTCTGTTCATGGCAGCCAGGAAGGAAAGAGAAAGAGTGAGAAAGAGAGCAAGAACTGTGCGCAGAAGAGGGGAGTAACGTGTGTCCCGTCAGGCAGGACACATCAACGTGGGCAGTGAACCTAGATGGGGAGGAATGAAGGGACAAGAGACACGAAAGGTGACAGCAAGACAAAAGTTCTGATCAAGCTGCAAACTTTTATTGTTCACACAGGGGTATTTATATGCTGGGGATGGGGAAGCTCTTCGCAATTGCTGGATGTGGGTGGGTAAAACTGCAAGATGTCTGATGATCCTGATAACCGCAGGGTGTTCCAGGGAGATAGGCAGGATGCCTTCAGGGCAGAATGTCTCCCAGGGGGCTGTCAGGCTAATCTTTGAAGGAGAATGTCCTAGTTCCCGACAACGTGGAGGAGGGTGCACAATGAACATGAACAGACCAGTGATCCACCTCCAACCATGCCCATCTGCTTACAGTTATCACCCGGTTAGCCCAAACTAGGATGGACTAATTAGGTTACAGCTTTCATAAAGTAATCATTTCACCTATGAATTTCTGCATTCACACAGGAGATTTGGTGGGACAAGTCATATCTAAACCATAACTGTAGTCTTCAAAATCCTGTTTGCATGAATAAATCACTGTAGTTAAGCCGGACTCCGTGGTGAACACCTGTGATCCCAGTGGCAGGAGGATCCCTAGTTCAAAGCCAGCCTCTGCATCTTAGTGAGATCCTAAGAAATTTAGCGAGATCCTGCCTCAAAATAAAATATAAAAAGGAGCTGGGCTCAGTAGCCCACACCTGCAATTGCAGCAGCTTGGGAGGCTGAGGCAGGAAGGTCACAAGTTCAAAGCCAGCTTCAGCAAAGCGAGGCACTAAGAAATTCAGTGAGACCCTGTCTCTAAAGAAAACACAAAATAGGGTAGGAGATGTGGCTTAGTGGTTGAGTACCCCCTGAGTTTAATCCCTGGTATTCTCCCCCCACCAAAAAAAATGTACACACACACACATACATATATAGGACTGGGGGTGTGGTTCAGTGAGTGGTTAATTGTCCCTGCATTTAATTCCTAGTATAAAACAAACAAAAAAACATAAATTTAGGCAAAAAAAGATTTCAAGTCAATTATAAACATTACTATTATTAAATAAAACTTATTTTCCATTGTAGTGATTAGACACCTGCCATCATCCATGTGAAAGACACACAAACAAGTTTTCTTTAATAGTTGTAACTTTTATGAGATGAAGAGCATCTCATTTGCCCTTTAAACTCAGAATTCCAGATGGGTGCTGTGGCAAACACCTATAATCTCAGTGACACAGGAGGCTGAGGCAAGACGATCACAAGTTCAAGGCTAGTCTCAGCAACTTAGACCCTGTCTCAAAATAAAATAAAAAGGGATGGGGATGTATATCAGTGGTAAAGAATGGCTGTGTTCAATCTCCAACTGAACTGCAAAATGAACAAACTTAGAATTCCATTCTACCCAAGATAAAACTTAATATATATTTTTATACTAGAAAAACTATATACATCTCTGCAATAAAAATAAAAGTTGAAATTGAAGTTTTAATAACTTCCTGTGACCAGAAGGCACTAGTGTTAAAATTTTCTTCATTGCATTATCAATGTTTACAAATATACAATTGATGAAATATACTTCACATTTTGATAATTAAACATAAAAACTAAATTTTTATTGCGATGTGACTTAATGAGACCAAACTTTTTTTCTATTAATTCATATGCCTATGAATGAATATCACTGCTGCTAAAATGAGACAGGTTTTAACAATTTTGGTGGCAAGGTGCAGGGCCTTGCACATGTTAGGCATATACCCTACCACTGAACTATATCCCAGCCCAAGACAGGTTTAACACCAATTCTATTCCTATTTTTCATTCTTTTTTTATAATTCTTGTCCTTAGAAACTATATAAATGATTCAGAAATAGATTGTACCAAACAATGGACAAAGGAGAATCATTCATTCTATGCCTTTTCTTTTGTCACTCAAAAATATAATGTTATCACTATGATTGTTGTTGCTTTTCACCTTGTATTTATAAAATACAATATGTGTGTGTATACCATAGTCTACTGTCCCTTTCACACAAATTTGAGGCCCCCTTGTTACTACTGATATATCGTATCTCTAAGGCATGGCTGGAACTCTGATATTCTGTGCCATGTTGTCTTTTGGCTGATATCACATCTTTCAAGAGCCAAACTACTGGACATGGGTTGAAGCTCAGTGGTAGAGTGCTTGCCTACCACACATGAGG